GATACAATGTTACTACGCATTACGTGTACGATTTTTAAGTCTCTTGAATTATGAATAGTTATAATATAGGCACGTTTATTCTTATTTCAGGTTTATGTTTCCTAACGAATGATCGAGAGTAGAGAGTCTTTATTAATTATGCCTTTTATGCTATCAATATTATTAAATTTAAAAGTGAATTATTACTCTGTTGTCATTTGTGAGAAGACATGTTTTAACCTGGGAGTAATTATATGTGTGATTAAATATTCGTTATTACCGGTCTTTCATGCAGGTTAGAGAGATGTCATGACTAATAGATTAAAGAATAAAGTTTTGAAAAAGTTTGAAGTTTTGAAATTTGTCTGGACGTTACAGAGGTAAGTAATAAAGAAGTAAGGTCGTCCTGAGTTTCCTCTGAGATGAAGTTACGAGTGCCGTCGGATGTGAGGTTCACGGTATCCTCGTCAAAAATATTGAAGTTTTGTTCGTGATTAAATTGTAAAAATGGATCGTATTCCGGAGATGTTAATTGTTGAGTTTGATCATGGACGTAATATTCAGGGTCAGTTAAAAATTGATGATTTGGATCGATTAAGTAAGTATTTGATTCTGAATGAGACTGTTCAGGAAATTGAGGGTGAGAATAGTCAATGTATGGAGGTATATTATTAATTGGCGAATAAGCGTCTGAAGAGGGAGGTTGTATGATTATTCGCGTTGGATAAATTTGAACGTTTAGATTTAGAGGTCTTCGAGATCTACGTTCGCGTAGCCTGTGAAGGTGCTGCTCGTTTCGATCGATCTGATTCCTTCGTCGGAAAGGAGAGACCATCTAACGGTTAAATAAATTCACATGAATAAATCAAAAGATAGATTGTTCTATTATTTGAAATAATTGAATATGACTCACGTTTGTAGCGTGATTTACTTGTTAATGAGAGCGAACAGAGATGAAAGGTTAATCTTATGCGAGAAAGCCCTTCACCTGTTAATAAATTAACTTTATGTCAGTAATTATTATAATAAACCTGTATTAAATGAGGATTGGTAATAACGTGGATAAAAGGAGGGATTTCGATAGGAGTATTAATATCTGCGTTGAAAATATTAATACTTGATGTTTCAATCGTTAATAATTAAATCTTGAACTTTGAAATAGTAATTCTTAATGAATAAATAAATCTTAGACTTTGAAGTAACAAATTGTCAATGAATATCAAAATCACTGTCAGTTGGTATGGTAAAGTAATTCGCAATTATTGGAAAATGCAGGGTATTAAAGCATGAAAGAATAGAGAGGTAGGTATACATCCGGTTATTCCGGGTTCTCAGGTCCTGGTCTTAATAGGCTAGTGCGACGTTCACTTTACTGAACGTGCATCTCTGAGATGATTTGCGAATTTACCTTCTGACAGGATATAACTCTAATGGGTATAGAGGAGTTAGGAATAGAGGTTTGAATATAAGTATTAATATCTATATTAAGAGTATTAATACGTGTAGCTTCAAGCATCGATAATTGAATTGTAATTATGAATTAATTATTTTTAATAATCATTAAGACCACTGTCATTTGGTTTGGTAAAGTAATTCGTTAGGTTTGTAAAGCAGAGAGAGAGTAAGCAGGGAAGGGTGAAGAAATGTACGGTTGCCCGTGGATTCCGGTCCCCGAAGGTTAATGCGACGTTCACTTTACAGAACGTGCATCTCAGAATCGTAGTAACGAATTTACCTTATGACAGGGTATGGTTTTAATAGTAGCAAATAGGGTAAGGTGGAGTACACTTGTCAAATAAATTTAAATATCAATATGCAAGATCACTGTCAGTCGGTGTGGTAAAGTAATTCGCAATTATTGGAAAGTGCAAGGTATTAAAAGCATAAAAGAATACAGAGGTAGGTATACATCCGGTTATTCCGGGTTCTCAGGTCCTGGTCTTATTAGGCTAATGCTACGTTCACTTTACTGAACGTGCATCTCTGAGATGATTTGCGAATTTACCTTCTGACAGGATATAGTTTCTAATGTGTACAGAGGAATTAGCGGCATTCAATCGCTAATATGTGGTAGGATACAGGGTTACATACATATATAAATAAGCAGTGATATAATAAAATACATAGTATATTTATTATAATAGATTGAATAAGTATGCGATATCGGTTAAATAATATTGAATAGTATTGGATAAAATATAAATAGATCGACGATTGTAACGCAGACGTATGCAGATGCAAATCGTAGATTGAAATAATATCGGACATGCAGAGTAATATATGGCTTATGTCTATGTTCAAAATTCAAGTTCGGAATGTAATGTAAGATTGAGTTAATATTAAATAATTAAATATAATGATTAAATATAATGAGTGTCCGTCGCGCTTTACTATTTGGGGATATGTGAACTGGCTTAAATACTCACAAGGTTAGACAATGTCTTATGTGCCTTGAGGTGGTACACTTCGCTACTATGTTCTTCCCTCTGAGTTGAAGAGCTGAGGAGCCTCGGTACCTCGGTCCGAAATGGCGGCTATGTCTCGATGTCTTCAGAGCTCCGTAGTAATTGCTTGACTGCGGCGGGATCACTCTTGAGTGATGGATTGCGAATTCACTGTTGAGTGATATATGACGAATTCCCTGCGACGAAATCACTGCCGTTCCGTGCCGGGAGCCGGGTTTATATACCCAAAAATGGGCTCGCTCCTCCCATCGGGCGATGTGGCTCAGCCAATGGTAAGAGAGATGTGCCGGGGAAGTACCGGAGATAATCTGTTCCAGGTAGAGATTGCGACGGTTAAGTCCCGGAGAGATGGCTTCTTAGTAGCGATAGCGGCGTCCCTTTGATGACTCATCGCCGGGCGCTCCGACTTTCCTTATCTTATTCTCGGTAGCGATAACGGTTGGCTATGCGTTACGACTCTCTTTGTTCCGTTATCGGTTTGCAGGTTGCAACTTGCTTCTGCGTTGCGTCATCGATTGCATCATGCTTCTGGATCCTTCTAGAAGCTCCTATATTGCATCATTCTTCTGGAATGTTCTGGGGTTTTCTTTGAGAGTAAAGCCGAGTTCACAATAGTAAAGCGGGTTTCACATTTGGTTATCCAATTATTATAGTATACTACATTATAAGTGGTATACATATATTCTTAGGTACTATCCTATAGAGTATGTCGATTCCTTTTGGGAATCGAAATAAAATGTATTATAATTCGCGTGAGGAATGAATTTCTATATTTTCTGATATTTTGTATTTATGATCCGGTAATCACGATAGGTGGGTGGAAACCCTTAATTTACGTTTATATTCTTTAGTTAAATGCAAATTGGTACTTACTGTATGAAAGATCATAACCAGGATAAAATACTTATATATTCATAGTCGAACTATGGTATCCTTATTTAGTACTTTGAACGTGTGACGGATACAATGTTACTACGCATTACGTGTACGATTTTTAAGTCTCTTGAATTATGAATAGTTATAATATAGGCACGCTTATTCTTATTTCAGGTTTATGTTTCCTAACAAATGATCGAGAGTAGAGAGTCTTTATTAATATGCCTTTTATGCTATCAATATTATTAAATTAAAAGTGAATTATTACTCTGTTGTCATTTGTGAGAAGACATGTTTTAGCCTACGAGTGGTTATATTTGTGATTAAATATTCGTTAATGCCGGTCTTTCATGCAAGTTAAGATTGTCATGACTAATAGGTTAAAAAAAATTAATGATTGAAGAAATTGAAATTTTGAAATTTGTCTGGACGTTACACTTCTTTAATTGTTGTTCGTCCTTCTCTCAACAAGATCGGATTTTACGCCGTCGTGTGGAGATATACAATTTGTGCAGGAGAAGACTGTGCGCTTTCCGAAGAATACAAAGCGATGGATTTTCAATATAATTTGCCTGGCCTGTTGTCGTTTAGACGGCAGAGCGCTGACTCATCTCGGAAACGGGCATCGGATTGCTCCAACCTGCCGGTCTCCGAGAAAAGTGGGAGAATTTCCGAAAATAAGAGCGCAGACAATAACATGCTTTGTAATATTTTTCATCGATGAACTGTGTACTCGCGCGCGCAAACAATACAAAAGTCGAGGCAAGCGATTATCGCGGAATCGATTCCGAAACAATTATATATTTTTTATATTTTATATTTTTTTTTATTTTACATATATTATATTTTATTTTTTATATTTACACACACACACAGTAGAGAGTGGTTGGAGTCATTAAATACCGCGGGAGTGACGAAATACCATGGGTTCCTTATCTCTACTGTGACACACACACACACATACACATGAGGTGTAAATCCGACCGGCAATCTCCACGTGGTACACCTCGGCTAATGCTAATGCCGGCGGTATTGTACAAATAAAAAAATAATGAATAAAATATATATTTATTATAATAAAAATATTTAATAATTTTAAAAAACGTTTCCTTCATTCGATATTCCTAAACAAAAAATAAAAATAAAATATTCTCTCCTTCGCGTCTCTCTCCTTCGCGCCTCTCTGCTTCGCGCCTCTCTCTCCTTCGCGTTTCTCTCTTCTTCGCGTCTCTCTCGCCATATCTCTCGCCGCTATCTCGAGCCGCCTAAGTTCTCTCGCCGCTACTTGGCGCAGCGTCTTCTCACGATGTGTCTTATTTCACCGTCTCTCTCACTCTCACGCTGCGTCGTATTTCGCCGTCTCTCTCGCGCTGCGGTCCGTTTTCTTACTCTCTGTTTCTTAATGAGACCGTCGCGTGCGCCTCGCGATACAATTATCGATTTTCTCTCGCTGCCGCCGGATCCAAGCATAGATGCGGCCCGTCTTATCTCTAATCTCGTAAGATAAAAATATCAATTTTTTCTCGCTGCCGCTGCTGCGACAATGTCCTTGACACGATAATTTTTTTTTGCAAAGTATGTAACAAGTGGCGTGCAAATAAAGTACACCATGATATATACATATAAGTATTTATTCGTCTTATATTTAATACATAATCATATATAAAGTTTTATTACATATTAAGAACTAAAGACTAAAGCTACTAGCTCGCAATCGACGAGTTGGTGCTTGTTGAAGGCGTCGCTAGCGCGTATCGCATTCGGCAATTCTCTAGCATCCGCTACAGTGGATACAATATTAAAGAATTGTGTATACTTGATATCGACCGTTGCAATGAGTCTCGTCAATCGATCAAACATTATTTCGATGCATGAATTGAGCTCGAGCATACGACGTAACGTCGATTCGACCATCATCATGCGCACGTCCGCTGATTCGAGACTTATGAGTTTATACAAGTAGTTAATAGCAACGTATACAAGTCCTGTTGTTGTATGGATATTCTTATCTCGTCGCTGTAACCGAATGTTGTGTTGGCAAACGGGTTGTATGTGTGAGTCTCAATCTTGACGATGCGATCGTCAAAGACTGGCTTTTCCTTGATGTTGAGAATCTCCGTCATTGTTCAGGTCGTAACCCGCAACGCAAATCCCAAAGATTGTAAAAACGCAACGTTTGACGAGGTGAGTTTCTTTGTGGTTGATTTGTTATTAGGTGCAAATGTTGCTGCGTCTGGCCTGTTGTCCCTCCTCGTGTATTTATTCTACACAAGCATCCCGTCGCACGAGGTGTTATCGCTGCGGCCCGTCGTTGTACGTGCAATCTAACTGTTATCTCTTCTCCTCGAAAATTGAGCAATCATCCCTCCTGGTCGACAACTTGTAACGTTAAATCCATAATGCTCCGCGAAGATCGGCAGGTAAATGATCTGCGCCGGCGTTTCCGATATCTTATATACTGGTGGTACCCTCGGTGAAAATTCGTGTATCGTGTGAACGAGTTTACCGTTGCTGTATGCACCCGCGGTCACGTTACACTCTATGCGGATAATGTTCACGTTGATAATATTAATCGCCATGTATGATTCGTACCATTTTCGCGGTTGCAGTATACGATTCGAGAATCCCAGCAGCGATCCAATGTTGTTAGGCATGCTAAAGTTTACTCTGTATGCACACTTGATCTCGCTTCTCATCGTATTGTAATTAGCGCGGAGCACGATTGGGTAATTGTCATCGTCGACACCTTTATCATTAACAGCATTATGTTTCCGGGAAAGTGCGCGTTTCAAAAATTTATGTATCGCTTGCAGTTCGTACGATCCCTCGGAAATCGTAATTTCCGCGTCGTCTTTGCCGTAGTAAAATTTATTATTCGAGGAATTCACATTCGATATAGTGTAATAAGTTTCAAAATCCGTCAGACCGAGCTCGTAGTCCGCGTCGCTCAAATCTATAGGCGGAAAGTAGGTCGCCGCGAGGACGCTACTCTTTCCAGTCAACGTTAGTGTTAGCGACTTGTTTACAAAACTGAGTTAAATAGAGTAATGTCAGTCTTTAAATTCGCGGGAGCGAGAATTCAATCTCTCGAAGAAACTGCAAGCACAATTGTCCGCAGATGCTCTGATCATACGTTTGATAAGAAGCGCGATTGTATTCTAAATTCGACACATTTAAATATCGCACCACTTTCTCGGGAGGGTTTAAGATTGCCAAAACTGTCGAAATAGATTGCGCGATCTCCTCATTTTCTCGCGCGCCATTTATCGGTAAATCATTGCGCATGAAAACACCTCTAAAGTACGGAATGCGCATACGTTTTGCCAGTTGTAGCAATTGCACATTGGTAGTTAAACCTCGCGACATTTTTAACGCCTTTTGACGTTTTTTTTTTCCTCGCTCCTCGTCCGTATTTGTAAGGGGCGAGATACAGGCCGTGACCTTCCATGGCGCGATTGTGGCGTAGTATCTCTTGCATCTGACGTTGCGCGGCTTTTTTGTTCACCGCTCTAGCTACGCCAGCCGCTCCGCCAACCCGGGATCCGAGCGCGCCCAGCATTGGTAGAATCCGTAAAAATCCGCCTCGTTTCGCTGTCGGAAGTATTCTCCTCTTCGTCTTCCTCTTCTTCGTCCTCATCCTCAAGCCCATGCCGATCTTTGTCTTGGCTATCATCGCTGCCCAGACAGCTGTGGCCGCGGCTCTCTCACCGAGATTCGAATCCTTCGCAACGATGCAAGTTTTCGCTTTCTCGTCGAGTACCTTATCCGCCCCGTGTCTCTCGGTAAGTTCGCTGCTCCGAGAGTACGCTATATCGTGCTCACGGCACGCCTCGTCCAATTGATTGACACCTTGATCGCCTCTAGCCAATCGCTTTTCCAAACGAGTTCCAGGGTCGCAAAACTGATAACCGGGGATATGAAGCTCGATCGGAAGTGCGTTTATCGCACGATTTAATAGACCTGTACCTATTTTCGTTAACATTCGCTGCACTCTCTAAACATTACTGAGCAAAGCGCGAGTTCGCGCAGCTATAAATAGGCGGACGTTCGAGGTAAAATCGAGAGTGGGAAATTAAATTCGTGCGACAACCTTTGATGATACGAGTGATGAATTACGACGACAGAGTACGCTGCAGCGTGAACGAAGGTGTGCGCAAACACGGTACGATGCTACCGACAACTATACGCGCGATCGTTTGCGGCCCCTCAAACTGCGGTAAAACTAACGTGTTGATAAACTTGCTGGAAAGTCCGCACGGCGTGCGTTTTGAGAAGGTGTACGTGTACTCGAAATTGCTGCAACAACCAATATCGTTATCTGAAGGATTTGTTGACGTCGATTGACATTCTTCAATAACAGGGACGTCATTCCACCGAGCAATGCAATTTAAAGCACGTGTACAACGATCACGTGAATACCGACATGTCGTATGAAGATTTCAGTGAGTTATGTCGTGCTTGTTGGCAGCAAAAGTATGGATTTCTAGTGATAGACAAGGACAGCTCGCTTACGAACGGGCGATACAGAAAAGGATTTAACGAGTTCGCGATACCGCAGAGCCATTAGTCGTCGCCGACAATCTTCCCGCGGAGGAACATCGCGAGAGGATGAAAACTCTAGAGAGTGCTGCCGATAGCTGATAATATTCGCGAGCATAAAAAGACGGCCAAGGAGATTGCGAAGACGGCCGAATCGATCCGCACAAAATTTCGCGCTCTGAAGACCGGAAAGATCGATGACGATATCACGGTCAAGACTCACTTTAAACCTATTATCGAGCCGCTACAAAAGATTGCCGACAACGCGACGATTTTGGTGAAAAACGTGCCTAACACTGACGACGGCGGTGTGAAGATCGAGACGTGGTATGAGGGGAAGACACCGAAAAAGAGAAAACGTAAAACCATTAAACGATATAGAGGAGAAAGAAAAGGAGGAGGAAGAAGAGGAGGAGGAGACACCGAAAAAGAGAAAACATGTGCAAGATATTTCAAAGCCATTGGACGCTTCACTGCTGATAATCTTTACACCGAAAAGCGCACAACCTGTGAATCCGTCCGAAATATTTCTTCGACACTGGTTAAGATCGTCGGAAGGTCAACAAATGATGCAAAAGGATTGGGAGCCATTAGGACAAGAGTACATGGACGCTCTTTTCAGTGCTGATGAGAAGAAAGAGATTGATAATGTATACGGAGTCTATTTCAGCGAGAATAAAATGCACATCGGAAACAAGCGATTTGCGATTGACAAAGATGACAATATAATCATAGGCGACACGTGGTACATTGGAACGCCCGGATTGTACGAGTTGATTTTCAAGATAGGCCTGATTACCGGGAGAACGATTTGCGAAAATACAAGCACATTATTATTGGCGACAAACGCGCATAAACGCAATTTTGATGCGCAAGGTCGTGTGAAAAGTAGCAAGGGGGACAAGTACAAATATAATATCGCACCGTTGATGCGGGTGAAATCGGACGACCCAAAATCCGGCAGGGGAATGTTTCGCGCTATGACGCTAACCGACAATAAGATTGATTACGTTCACTGGAACGATCCCAACGAGCTAGTAGATCACCTACGATTGCTCGACGCTTCGCGCCAAGCCGGCAACAACGCGCACGACAACGAGATTTTGTCGATCATCGAAAAACTGCGGGAAGCGGGCATTATTATAAATTAAACGAGGTCCCGACAATCTATTCAGTCCATCGCGTGACACTTTACAAAGCATTGCAAAAAAATGTCTATCAATAAATTTGGATTATTCGAGAGAAGAATTGATACAATCAGCGATTATTGGTACACATTGATGAGAAAATGTGTGCGTAAAAACGCTCTATGTCGCGTCGCTACAGATTATGACGCGATATAGCGCAAGATTCGCCGTGTAGCGCTACCTGAGGCGGATACCGATGCCGTCAACAAATTGTACTTGGAAGAGTGCTTTAAAACATTGATGATCCAACAGAAAGAGTCAGATGAGAAGCTGGCTGCGTTAGAGAAGGATGTACGAACGTTGGAGGCTGCGATAAAAGAACTTTTGCGTGCGCCAAACATTACCTCAGAAATATCTATCTAATAAACGGTAGGCTCCGAAACGTCTGTCACAAATGGCTGGAAGAAATAGTTGCAAACAGTTGTCGAGCAGCTACGAAGGATTATCGGCGTGCTACCAATCTACAATAAAATGAGCAACGAGAGTTTTGTGACCGCTGAACTCTGCAGTAACAAGTATAGCAGTGAACGGCCTGTCGATTGTTGCGAACAAGGCTACGAACGGGTCAGACGCGGCTGCGAACGAAGCTACGAACAAGTACTTAAAAGCTACGATCGCCTCAGGTACAGCTGCAAACGGGCCAGGGCGGGCTACGAACGAGTCAGAAGCGACTGCGAAAAAGGCTACGATCGAGTCAGGAGCGATTTTCGAAATTGTCAAGGACATGAGTGAACGAGAATTTAACCCGAAAGAACGAGAATCTAACCCGAAAGAACGCGAGCGTTAAATAAAGAACCAGAATGAATAGTAAAGATAACAACGAGCAACATAGTTTGGAGAGACGGCAGTTGGTAAACGAGTTGCATGCGTCAACGAGAAAAATTTCCCTTGAAGGCATGTCGTAGTGCGGAGATACGATGATCTGTGGCAAGCCGACATTGTCGAGATGCGTCCGTACTCCCGTTTCAACAAAGGATATCACTACATACTCACCGTCATCGATGTGTTGAGCAAGTATGCGTGGGCTGTACCACTCAAGAGTAAAGGAGGAAGCG